GGACGCTTTCTTCCGTATTCTTCAGAGTTATTCACGACCTACATTTTACGCTGCATTGAAAGAGATTTCGTGACAATGTCGTTAAAGGAACAGTGAATAAATAAATAAGCGGGCCTCAGATGAGTTTCAGTAGGTCCATCAAACTGTAATTTCAGTGCAATACCGAGCTGCGTTCCATCCCGTGACTTTGAAAGCTAAAATACACTGGGGGAGGGGACGATAATAAAATTCAGTGATTAGTTGATTAATGTTGACACCCCAACAAAAATGCGAAGGACGGCCGTCAACCCTCGCGTGATCAGAATGTGCATGGGAATATGATAAATCTGGTGATTCAAGTGTTTAAGTTTGCATGGGGTGGGGTGTGGGGATGTGTGTTAGTCGCTATCCCGTCCGGAAGATAGGCCTCTAGGCGCTGAATCCGAGAATGTTGGGAAATCTGGCCGATAATTAGTCACCGGACTAGAAGCAGGAATGTTTACACATCTCTCTCTCCCGCCCAGCGAGCAGAAAGCGTCATCTAGTTGTGAAGAATATTACGGAATAATAATAATTCCCCAACAACAGACGTCATTCAGTTTGAGTGAGTCATTACGTACGTTATATTCTTCACGGCCAACAGCTGTTGCTGGCGACCCTGAAGGAAACACAAAAACACTTTAAACTATTGCTTATAGGAAGCCGTGGCTTTCTGACGTTTCAGGATAGGGAGTGACAGAGGTAGTGACATACGAAGCAGACGGCGAGAACTGCGCTAGTCCCCTGCAGCAGGAGGAATTACGCATACATTACACATAGCGTGTGTTGTGTTTTTTTTTTGTGGTCATCTTTAGGAGTGGCATTTTGCCAACTTGTACGCGCGATTCGACAGAGCTCTGTTGCTTCAGTCTACAGGCAACCAACACGCAAGACACAAAAGGACGACGCGTTGTAGTCGCAAGTAGAAAGTGCCTCAAGACATTTAGTGCTCCACGGAAGAGAAGAAAGGAGTTTTCTTGTTGCTTCAGACATTACAGTGCTTTAAGAACGTTGTGCTGCAAGACAGCCCATTCCGCTTTTCAAGTTTTCAGTGGAAGAGAAGGAAAACTTTTACGTTTCATTGTTGGCAACGGTAAAGAGTTCACATTATTGAAAACAGTTCGTCGTAATAGTGCTTTGATTCTGGACGTTTGAGTGATAATTATAATCTGAAAAGCTTTCGGACTTTTGTAAATTCCTGTTATCTACAGAAATAATCTATAATGTTGTTACAATCTTTATCATTTGTCAGTGTTGTAATAAAGTGTTCGTGTGGCTGAATCATCACCGTCAGTGATTTTTGTTGCAATTTCTCGCGCAAGGCCGTGTGACTTGCCTTTTCATTATTATAAGCCAGTTTGTAGTTTTCTCGATCTCTCGAGAGTGAAGTCGACTGTACGTAGGAGCGAGAGTGTTGTGTTTCTCTGGTGATGATTCATACAGATAGTCGGTAGCGTAGTGTACCATCTGCTCTGTTGATGTTGAGCTGGCTGTGAGGAGGGTTGTAGTTTGTGTGCATCCCTTCGACTGGATAGGTCATTACACTAGTGCTGCGAATTGGCGCCTGTTGCAGAGAAACTGAAGATGAAAAAGGACGCTCCCTGCTTAGTTCTGAGGTTAATACCAGTGCCCACGCCACCGAAATGGGGTAAGGTATCGTTTATGTGTGTAAATCTGGCATTAAATGTTATATTTATAAATACATGTTACATTCTGTGGGGGCGATTACAGTGGCCGCGGCGGTCTAAGGCATGAAAAGTATCCGTCGTTTGTAACACTGGGAACGTGGGTTCAAATTCCACTTGAGGCATGAATGTATGACCACGTTTCTTCTGTGTAGGTAGCGGCCCTGCGACAGGGCTCATCACCCGTCCGAGGAGCCCTACCAACTGTGCAAGATATATAGTTTCAGATTAATTCTGATGGGAAACACATCAGAGAGCCTAATACGAAAGGTAGATAAAGAAGTCCATCTGTGAGCGATTTCATGTTACCTTCTACGCCACAGCTAAACGGAGTAATAAATGAGTCCATTTTCATTCGTACTATAACCAGCACTGTTATATTCTAATGCTATGTTAATCTGTGGAAGTCATTATATTCAAATAAGCAGTGCTGAGTTTCCCGGTGTAAAAAGCATAACAACAGTAAGCCACGGTTCGTAACGTATTTACATAGTCATTCTGTATACTCCATTAATATGGGTTTATTAGCCTACTTTCCTTATCTTGAAACAAGTTGTTCTGAAAACAAAGTCAAAGTGAAAATTGCTCTACGACTGGGTGTTTACCGCAGATCATTTCGTCTTGGCACCAAGTCCCCTGAGACCCACGACCAAAGATTTTTTTTTCTCAACTGAATTCTAGCGGTAATAGTTTTTGCGTAACATCCTATCTGACGAGAGGATGGGTCTGTCTCTTATGAATATGCTTGGCTTTTCGTCAAGTGTACATTTCGCACATATAACATGTTATTGAAAATGCCTACTTTTGCACTACACAGAAGCCCTCTGCCAGTACAGGCTTTGCATAGCAGATCATGCCTACGTTTATTTACGACAGGTACCGCATAGAAAACGACGCCTCCAACGTTTACCGAGTCATTGCCTTGCAACAATGTGTAAAATACACAGACCCATAGAATCTGTTTTGATACAACACGGACCGCATAGAAAACGACGCGTCCAATAATTCTTTGCTTCGTGTGTTCGTTGCAGCGGGAACATGTATACCGAGATGTTGTCCAGCAACGATACGGGGAATACACATACACTGATGGGAGGGATTTATGAAGTACGCCGCTGAGATGGGTTCAGGTGCCATAATATACATGCCAAGTTTCATAAAGATTGGTTCATGTATTCAGAAGTTAATAGGCGGGGATACACAGACAGTATGGTGACAGCATATGCCCACTTTAGTTTTTTGTTTCAGAATTAGAAAAGTAGGCCAAAAATAACACCAGGATTATGAGAGCACATCCATGCCTGTGTGTCCTCCCTTATCGTTGCTTGGCAGGGGCTCCGTAAACATGTTTCCGGACCATTGTTACGAAACGGCTCGGTAAACACGTTCCCGCTGCAGCGAATACACTCAGTCGTGTTACATTGTTGTTTTCAATAGTTGAAAGGAATGTCGAACGTCAAATATTGGCGCTGGCAACATGTTAAATCCAAAACATTTCATGGATTATTTTGATAAAGGTGAAGTTATCCTTGGAATTAATTTTAAGCACCATGTCATGAAGACTTAATGGGAGGGTCTCTACCCTCCCATAAGTCTTCATGACATGACCTTGGAACTAGATGGACGTGATTGATTAGCTGTACGCTCTTGCCACATATACTCTATGAAAAATTCCCCAGTTCCATTTGTATAGGAGGCAGGGTGGGCCCCGAAGCCGGTCTGGACGCTGTGAAGAGAAATATCTTACCCCTGCCAGCAATTGAAACCCGATTCGTCGGTCCTCCAGCCCATACCGTACTGAGCTATCCCGACTCTAGGATTATGTGACATAATTATCATTCAGTTTTATAGTTTAATTTAGAAGTACACTTAAAGGAGCAACTCATGTTTCTGAAAGGCTATGAGGGCAAAACCCCGGAAGCGTAGTTGGCTGAGGCACTGTGCCACAAGTCGGAAGGTCGCGGGTTCGAAACCCGATGAGGTGGATTTTTTTTTTCAATTGACCTAATCCTTCCAGCTGCACTATGGCCCTAGGGTCGACTCAGCCTCTAACAGAAATGAGTACCAAGGATCTTCCTGGGGGTTAAAGGGCGGCCGGTGGGTAAGTCTGACAACCTTACCACCATTTGTGATCCGATTGTGTAGACAGTGTGGGTGCCTCGACGTCTCAGTCCTATGGGCCTTCACGGCCTGTTACATGGATAGCTTTACTGTCTGATAAAGTTAGAACGGTGTATCTTTACAGTCTGTGTGTAGTTTCCCTATTGTCTAGTAGGTTCAGTAGTACTAGTGCATTAGTGTGATTTTCTAATTTTCGTAAGTATTTGGTATTTCACTTTTGTACTTCACAGCGCTGTATTACTTTGTAAACCATCATGGATCCGGTTTTTTTTTTTTATGAAGGTGTATTCAGAATGAATCGGAGAGTCTTGGATTGAAAGCGCTGGAGGATTTCGATGTTGGAATTGGAGGCTGTCCCCCATAGCTGAATTCCCTAGGTCCATATGGGTTTTAGTACTGCTTTGTATAGGAGGGGTTTGCTTTCTGTTGATAGTGTTGATCTTCCGAGTAGCCAGTGGGTTTGTTTCGCTTTTGGTTAAGCTGCTTTCGTGTGGTTTTGATGTGCTTTGCCTCTTGAAGGCAAATGCCAGTCTAATACTTCAGATTAGGCCACGGCCGATTTTACTACGCCCTTCCCAGTTCAACCATTCGCGGTAGTCCTGTACAGTGAGTTAATGACGATGTCATTAAGTAAACCGTGACGAAATAACCAAAACATCATCTTCCAATCTTACTTCTGTCTCAACATATATCTGGTGGTATCGGGCTCATGTGAACACGGTGATATGTCTTCGAGCCCTTTAAAAGGCGGGGAATTTATTGAGTGGCCCAGGACATAGCAGTGCAACAAATGTGGCATCTACTCAGGCTAACATCTCCTCCCGTCAATCGGAGGCCTCATATCCAAACATAAATATTTCTGGAAGGAACGAAAATTTGGTCATGGGTCCCGAAGCTAAAAACAACTGTGCTGGCGAGGACCAGAAATAGTTTACAGCTTCTCAGAAACAGCTGTGCTACAAAGTCTATAGGGGTGTTGAAATGGGAGGTGAAAGCTTAAATAACTGGGACCTGTAGCCCCTCCGAATCCTCATATCCTGCGTTGAACTGTAGTCCCACTTCCCCATACGTCTTCATAGCGCGGTGCTTCATTAAGCACAGGGACAACTTTTACAGTTTGTAACTCGTTCACTGTACCAAACAAGTTTTCACATGTGGACGTCTGTTATTTTCCAGGTGGGCACAAGGAGTTCCACAGGCGTCATAAAGAATTCTGCGAGGACACACTGCTGCCCCCCAGCGGCCGCCCTTTGAGTCCCAGCAGTGACTGCGTTGTGACGCCAGATATAGACTCGCATCCAGCCTCACGAGTTCTGCCGTTCCTCTACCTAGGCAACCAGCACGACGCGGCCGACCTTAACACCCTCAGGTCGCTAGGCGTGACCCGAGTCCTCAACGTGACCTCCCACCTGCCTGGGTACCACGAGGCCTGCGGAATTACGTACAGACAGCTGCCGGCTTCAGACTCCGGGCACCAAAACCTCAAGCAGTACTTCGAGGAGGCCTTTGACTTCATAGGTGAGTGTCGCCTGTTCCTTTATCGGGCTTGGCGTTCAGCTAGACGCGTGTCGCATTTCTTTCAAAATTAATACCGTGACTGCCAAGTGTAAATATGGCCGCAAGACATGCAGAAGCGGGAGATGTAAAATTCCCAGGTCCCTCACGATTTAAAATATCGCTGTAGTGCCGGTGACCGCCTCTGTGGTCTAGTGGTCAAGAGTTCCTGGCTACACATCCACAGGTCCCTGGTTCGATTCCCGGCGGTACCAGATTTTCTGAGAAGTACTGAGTCTGGAAAGGGGTCCACTTGAATGGACAAGTAGCGGCTCCGGTCTAGAAAATAAACAGCCGTGGGGATTCGTTGCGCTGACCACGTGACACCCTCTATCCGCTAAAGTTGGCACTAACTTCGACAAACGGCGGTCGCTATAGTTCGCTTGCGGAATAAAGCCATGGAGTTGTTTTCTGTAGTACCGGTAGATATAAGAGAGAAAGGAAACCTGCCGCACGACGATAAAGAATAATAATTCACCGTTCAAACTTTAATTAAATTTGCTAGTTCTAGTTATGTAGACAAAATTTGAAGTTCGTTCATGTTAAAGTAGGCGTAATTTAATTGCTATTGCCCTCTTAAGTACGAAATTAATGTAATATATTTTCAGCGTGTATTAGTGACTAAATACGGGTTCAAATTGGTAATTGGATTTATTTACCACTTACAGGTCATAACTACCATTAATTATAACACTGTTACTATATTTCACACTACAAAGCACTCCATGCTAATCTCTTAAGTCTATCTGCAGTAGCCCTCACGTATTTATAATTGAGGAACTACGAAAGTCTCCCTAAATCGCACACTGTCAATATCACTGCAATATAGCACACATAAAGTCTTCAAATCACACGTTAAATCTCCACAGACTGACCTCTTGTACTCTTCTGTACTCCTAGTTCCAATTCGCTCTGAACTTACAGCTCACGGCTCTCGTTATATAGCCGCGGAACGGACATGGACCTGCAGTAAACACATCACGTGATTGTTATCCAGCGAGTCTATTAGCGTTGGTCAGATCTACACAAAACATAGCTTCCTCTATTGTTGCGTGTTGGACCGTGTTGTTGCCTAGCAACGCGTAGATCAGATCCGTTACAATATTTAAAATGTTCTGATTTCACAGAAAAGTCAATTACAGCTACTGGTTGGTTGATACTCTTTTGGGGAAATAATCGATGTTTGTTCTAAAAATCACACGACACAAATGTAGTGTGTAGGTGGAGTACAGAGGGAAGTACATATAGTACTTACCACTCACCGTGGAAACTTAGTGAAGTAAAAGCAAGTGATTGGAATGGATGCCTATATGAAACTCCAGTGGGCGGTTAGCAATGGAAGCTATGTGAGATACGAATCTACGTTCCCATTTCTTCTCCTATTGCTGGCCGGCATTAAGTGCATGCTCTGGTTGTGACTCATGTATGACTTACAGGGGAGATTGCCTTTTTTGGGAGGAGACTTTAGATGCGATTCAGACCGCATTACGTGGCAAATGTAAGACTCAAACACTTATCGACCTGTTCAGGCGCTCTTTACGCGATCTGTGTTTCACAGAATCGCAGACAGACGCATATATGGAATTGTAATAAATTATGTTCAAGAACGTCACAGAAATATAGTTAAAACAGTTACATAGATGGATGGATAAATAAATGCAGGCGGATGGATGATAGAATGTAAGACAAGAGTAAACAAGATATTAAGACGTATGGGGGAGTGGAGATTTAGCTTCACGTATTAACCTCGGCACTAGGTGGAGGTGTGAGGTCAGCTTGACGCCTAGACCTCTTAACCCCCAGGGCAATGATGCCTGGTGCCCAGTGGACAGGTTCGGTGGGCCCCATAGCCGGTCTGGACGCTGTAAGGTAAAATTGTCCCTGTGCTTTACTACAGTAATTAAGCACTACGCCATGAAGGCGCATGGGGAGTGGATGTATAGACCCACGTTTTCCTGACCTCAGCACTAGTTGGAGGTGAGTGGTCAGCTTCACCCCTCGGCCGCTTTACCCCCGGGACCCATTGGATAGGAGGCTGGGTGGGTCCCAGGGACGTGGCGAAGGGAATGTCCTTGCTCCTACCGGGAATCGAACTCCGACCCCTTGGTCGTGCAGTCCGTAGCCAGTCGCTATACCGACCGCGCTGGTCTGGACGCTCTAGAGAAGAGAAAGACATCCAGCCGTTGCCAGCAACCAAGCCCGTCTACAAAGTGCTATCCCGGCTTCGTATTGTGAGATACGCTTGTATGAAAAGAAAGAAAAAGAGGAGGAACAAGACAGAGGAACTAAGAATGCGAGAACAAAAGGATGAAACATTCTACTGGATCGGAAACATTTGAAAGTCGATGGCCGTGAGACTGTGGCACACTATAAACAAACGAGAGACCGTCCCAGCGCAGGAACATTCAGATCTCCAAGTGATGGAGACGCCAATCACGTGACAGTCCTCAAGGTGAACATGTGAAGGCCGTGGAGCAGCCCCACCCAGCCTCCCCATTCGGACGCATTCAGAATTCCTAATTCCCTAACGCGTCACCCTGATACGTGCGATGGTTTGGTGTCGTCACCTTTCCTTGAACGGGGTGTGTCGTAAAGAGTGTGGCATTCCGTTCCTAATATTGGTGTGACTAAAACTCTTTTTCAGCAGGTGGGACGCATACCCTTAGAGCTGCGTGAGAAAATACTGGGGTATACTTGAATACATCTGAAATTCCTGCATTTTTGTATACTTTTTTGCGCAGTCGTAGGTAATCTGTCAAGTTTATTGTCTATAGGTAATTTCTACCAAACAGGATGATGAATAATGTAGGTACTTGAAAGAAAAACGTTTTTAAACGAATACTTTATAAGAAAATGTTAGGAATTCTGGTCAGATATATATCTGAGCAATCGTCATACATTGAACAAGCAAACTTACGGAACAAAATCCTATTCTGTGCGCAGCAACAAAATCTCTAATGTAGTGATTTTGTTTCCCGTTGTGTGTTGGAAATAAAATGTAGTAATTTTCTGAGTGATGACGTAATCTGCTTCATTGTGTGATGGGGACGCGCACTAGATGTTCAAGATCGAAGAAAAGTTGTCCCTAAACCTATCATGAAGGCGCAGAAGTAACGCATACTTTTTGTCTCAAAACTGGTCTGGATCTCTTCAGGGGAACAGAACCCATTATTTCCCGAAACTCTTGAGACCCCCTTGATGTGAAGACAAAATATAACACGATCCCAAATCTATAAATAAAATACTTAAACATAATTTAGCTATTTAAATAAATAATTAACGTAGTTGGTTGAGGCACTCTGCTACAAGACGGAAGGTCACGGGTTCGATTCCCAATGAGGTCACTGGATTTTTCAGTTGATATAATATTTCCAGCCGCACTGTGGCCCTGGGGTCGACTCAGCCTCTTAACAGATTAGTACCAAGGAATTTCCTGGGGGTAAAGGGCAGTCTGCGCATAAGGCTGACAACTTCACTGCCAACTATGAGCCGATTGTCTAGAAAATGTGTAAATCTGGACTTCTCACAACGCTAATTCAGCTTCTGATCGGTCAATTGCCTCACCCCACACAGAACGGGAACGTACATCCATGCACATTTTCATTTTAAGTACCAACTCTCGTCACAGGAAATGCTCATTATTCATGATTTTCTTTTTTTTTTGGGGGGGGGGCGAAGTGCCGCAAAAATTAAATGAAAGTAGCAACTTTACATGCCGCGTGACTTTCCCTGTTACATTGCTTCTCACACAGACGTTCATTCGTTGGCGAGTTTCTTGCCATTATCAAGACGATTTCTCTTCCGTAAACTTCGGGTTCGAGCTGCTGTTGTGCACTGCTCATCTGTTTTAATATTTCCATATGCGAAACGTGACGAAAGGAGGAGGCTCTGAATCACTGCCACGCAGATAGTGTGTACCTTCCTCACAGATAACGTTCACCAAACGTCGTAAGCCATACCTAAAAGGGCTCCTTGTTATTATAATCAACTCGGAATTGTTTGAATAGCTAGTCGGACATTTCCTGGTTCTAAATTCACAGCAGTGCCCTCAATAACAGGTGTAACGGATCACGTGCCCTAACATATCCGGTTCTCACAAATACATCGTTATGTGAAGGATGACCGTATTTCCACATGACACATTCTTTGCAGCATTTAGTTGATGTCATGCGTACTGATCGAATTATTCCGGAAAGACGTTACTGCTTCCGGGCTTCAGTGTTCAGCGTGGATTAATTTCTTTGAATAGCGAGCTGGGCGACCGAGGAATCGTTGTTCGATACAGGGCAAAAATACGGCGCAACCGGTCTCCTATACAGTGGGTTTTGGAGGCACGGTTCCCGGGGATTAGGTGGCTGGAGTGTGAGGCTGATGACTTGCCTCCATCTGATGTCCAGGTTAAGAATGCGCGGAGCTGCCCCTCCGCTTTACCACACCGGAGATTTCGTTAAAAACACTGGACTTTTCTTCCGTAAGGTTGCTTACTCAATGTATGACGTACTCTCGAACATAATTACTGAGCTTTTAAGAGTCAAGAATTGTTTTTCGAAGCAGCAGCTATGACTGAATGCAGGAACCCACTGTCAGTGAAAACTTCCTTGTGTGGATACCAGATGAGGCACCTCAACTGTCGAAGGCTTTATACACCCTTGGTTTGTTCGTATGTGATAAAATATGGCGCTGAGATTGAACCACTTCCGGTGCAGCACATGGTCTTCTCTGTTTACGCCTTCCGGTTTTTGAAAGAGGGTTTCCTCCCTCGTCACAAGCGGTTTCAAGGCTTCATAAACAAGACCAGATTTTTCCGGGAACTGCAACCCTCGAGAAAGGGTCTACGGGTTGTTGGAGGGTAGTTTTAAATTTCAAGACTAGTGAAAAGAGCAACGGGGTCACATGAATGGGGTCCCTTGTTTGACCTTCCTGTGCCCTAAATCTGAGAGTGGAAGTAGGAGAATTGAGCTGAG